TTCTTTTCTCCTCTTTTACAAGTGTGGATTAGAGATGCTAAGGGAAGAATTATATCCTTCTCTCACCTTCATCTTTGCGGGGAGTGAAGGAATTATACAGGTTCTAATTTCCTGGAACCTTATCTAATTAGCGTTCAGCATTTTTCTCAGGTCTTGGTAGCCAGGGATAGCCAGACTCTGTAACCCTTCACCCCTGGAGTTGTTCCAATGGGCTTATCCTCTCAAGGGTATTTGGTCCTTCTTTATGAATAATCTTGTGAGCATGTTAGTCTCAGCTTTCCAATTAGTGTTTTTTTTTTTAAAGATTTTATTTTTAAGTAATTTCTACACCCAATATGGGGTTTGAACTCACAACCCTGAGATCAAGAATTGCACACTCCACCAACTGAGCCAGCCAGGCGCCCCTCCAACTAGTTTCTTAAGAACAAAAATAATATCTCTTTGGAGCCTAGAGTAGGCATTTAAGTATTTCTTCATTGGCTGATTGATTGCTAAATTCTCTTGTAACCTTTTTCCCTTTTTTCCTTACTCTAAAGGGTATTCATTCTCCAGCAGAAGGGAATAGATGGCAGTCGCTAAAGGTATACGTTTTTATTTAGATAGCATGGGGGCAAATACACACTTCTGCTTTAACTCAACTTCCCTCAGAGCCAAGTCCAAGAGATGAGGTCAAAGAAGCCTTCTTTTCCCCCTCAAACCTGCACAGTTCCAAAGCCAAATCTGACCAAGACAAGTATTATCAGAAAACTCAGATGCATCAGTAAGTGAGGTCTTGGACTACCGTCATGCTCTTCCCCTATAGCCCTCCCATACCCTTCTTCCCTTGGCTTTTGCCACCACTCCATGCTCCAACAATGAATAGGCTATTATGCTGAAGCATTATTTCTTTTTTTCTTTTTTTTTTTTAAAGGTTTTATTTATTTATTTGACAGAGAGAGAGATAGCGAGAGCAGGAACACAAGCAGGAGGAGTGGGAGAGGGAGAAGCAGGCTTCCTGCTGAGCAGGGAGCCCGATGTGGGACTCGATCCCAGGACCCTGGGATCATGACCTGAGCCGAAGGCAGACGCTCAACAACTGAGCCACCCAGGCGCCCCTGAAGCATTATTTCTGCTTACAATCTCCCATAATATTTTCCAAGCCAAGAGGTTGAACCAACTTGAAATTAATACTGGCCAGACTGGGCCTGAAAGCAACAACTCCCTTGGGACAATGTTTTGATCTTATCCTACAGCTAAGTTAGCCCTGTCTGATCCCATTTTACTCTGCTTACCTTGACAGACTGTTCAGGAAGGTGCAGCAAGCTATTTGCTAAGCCCATCTGGACCAGGCCTATAAATGGTTATAGATTCCTGAATTTTCTGAATTTCAGGGTAGGACGGGCTCAGGTAGGACAATATTGTTCTTAGAAGGGGGTGGAACTTAAAGTTTCATTTACACAGGATTTATACGACTGAGAAAATATCATTAGACAAATCAAAAATGGGAGGGACAGGAGGGTCACGTACAACTAAAGTCCCACTCCCTTGCCCCCTGGTTCCTTCTTGGTTGGCACTGCTATAGAACAAGAAAACAGGGCACAAGCAGCAAGGAGAAATCCTCTTAATTCTCACAACTGCCTTGGATATGGTATTACTCTTCCTCAAAAAACATGGAGCATCTACACATTTTCTCTAAGGACACCCCTAGAGTACTCAGTAATATATCCATTGTTGTCTCAAATGTTGGCATAGGAAATGACCTCCTGCCAGCAAGTTGGTTAAGAGTGCCTTAGAAATTTTCCACCTGAACATACAATCATTTGAAGCTGGACCCTAACTTTACAGGGGTCCAGTGAGCTGCTGAGACAGGTCCCTGTTGTATGTTCAGTTATGTTTTTATGCAGGACTCCTAGTTCCTGGAAAGAATGTTCATTTGACTTGAAAAAAAATGTAAATAAATTAAAATATTTCCTCATACTAAAATCAGAGAAGTCAGAGGGCAAGTTTGGAAATATTCTTCACAAGCCGTGGAGTAAAATGCTAAGAAATGATCCTGAAATCAAATCAAAAGGCAAATTTTTCTGATTCACATAGTAAAATTGAGAAGCAAGGTCAGGAAGGGCAAATGAAGGCATTTCAGGCTAGATGACAGTCTTGCTGAAGCTGTGCAGGCCCTAGGGCAGCAGTTTCCCTCAGCAGGCCATAGAATCTGCTTTGTGCCCAGTAGGAAATACTGCATTATTCCAGTTAGTTTTACAATGTGTTCATATATTCTTCTATAGATATGTAAGCATCTTAGTATGGTTTATGTTTTTAAGTATCTTGCATTATAGGTAATCTTAATAAGTATTTAAAAATCTAAACTTGTAAAACAAGTTACAGGATGATGTTTTACAAAGCAAAATTTATTTTTAAAGAGATTTACTTCATGTTGCATAATCCCCTAGAGCATTTAAAAAATGTGAATTTGAATTACAAATTCAATACATATGTTACAGAAACCAATATAATTTAAATTTGATTACAAACTATATAAAACTTTTGAAAAAGTTATATGGTATAAATCTATAATAAAATATTGTTAAGTAGAAGAAGTAAAAACTGACTTCAAAAATATGAATATAAGGGGCGCCTGGGTGGCTCAGTCATTAAGCGTCTGCGTTCGGCTCAGGTCATGATCCCAGGGTCCTGGGATCGAGCCCCATATCGGGCTCCCTGCTCGGCGGGAAGCCTGCTTCTCCCTCTCCCACTCCCCCTGCTTGTGTTCCCTCTCTCGCTGTGTCTCTATCAAATAAAAAAAAAATGAATATAAGAATTTATTTCTGATTTATTTCTTTTATAAAAGAGGATAAAAAGATCTTAAAAGGTGCTAATAAGACATGAACTTAGGTAAAAGGCAAAAACTGAGGTAAAAGACCTACAAAACAATAATTAATCGCAATTAATAAAAATATTTTAACATTAAAGAATGAATTTTTGGACACAGAAACTGAAGGTATTAAGAAGTTATCCTTTATTTCTTGAACTCTGGTTTTGAAAAACTACTCAACTTTTTATTCAAGAATCCCAAGCGCAAATCTGAATATTGGTGGGAATTCAAATTAGTAAAGCACCACAATATAATTAACCTTCATTTTACAGGTGGGAAGATGGGCAGAAATGGAGTAGAGAAGTGAGTCAGTAGTGGTTACTCATTTAAATGAAAGCACTCTAATGCCCTGACTCTCCAGGATCACAGAATGCTAGAATTGCAAGGGATCTCAGATATTGGTGGTCTAGCCTTTTATCTTGTTGGCATTTATCTCATAAACTGATGATTTTGGAGGACACATACTGGCAACTTTGAATTCTTTTAATGTCAGAGGGATATAGTATGAGATAAGCCAAATCAGGTCAGTGGATGAGCTACATAATCTGTGCAAGTTCCCATCTGTGTCATTTCTAGCTCATCCTAGATACCCACATTCTATGCCGAACTTATTGGGCATTTCCTCACTGGATCCCACTATGATGGGGCCACCTGATTCCACACGGTGTTTCCTTTTCCTTTTCTTTCTAGTTGCAGGGGAACAGAGCAGATTTACCATATTCAAAAGTCCTCTCTCTGGAACTGATCTGAGTTTGAAAAAGGTGGAGCTTGAAGTAACCTGTGGGAGTACTTTTCATTCTCATCCTCGCACATCTTACTTACCTCAGTGGAAAACATTATTTCTCTTTATCTTTCAAGGTGACCCAAAAGCATCCAAAACTGGGTCTCCAAGAAGTATAGCATGTGTCCTCTAATGAACTGCCACAATTCATTCTTTGAAAGTAAAAATATCAAAACTATGTAGTCATTAAAAAGAATGAGTTTGAACTAAGATTTGATGTTTATAATGAGTGCAAAAAGCAAGTCCTAACAGTAAGTATGTGAGTCCATTTAAAATATTTACACATATTTGCCTGTAAAAGGCACAGAATGATGCTCACAGTGGCTGACTGGAGAGCTGGATTGTGGTGCGCAGAGAGGGCTAGGAAGGGGACCTGGGCTTTTTTCCTTTATTCATTTCTGAATTGCCTGGATGCTTCACCAAGTGTGTACTTAAATTCTTTAAAATTAATTAGGGAACATCACACACATCCACCAAGAATCTTTATCAGTCTTTAATGCATTAAAAGTCTGGGAAACCGTTAAATTCTTGGTTTGACTGGTTCCATGGAGAGTTCAATTCCTTCACCAGACATTCCTTAAATACTAGGTTCTTTGCCTGGCACCAGGCTACCAAGATCTGTAACACCTGGTCTATGACAGGATGGAAATCTGCCCCAAAATGCAGCTAAGAGGAAAAGTGAATTTGGTAAGAATGGGCACCATCATCACTAGGTATACAACGGCACCCTCACTTGTCTCATAATTGGCCTTCTGTAGGCTTCGTCTTTCGGCAGCGCCATCCTCTCATTCTTAAAAGTCAGATTTACGATTAAGACTCCAGTTAATACCGTTGAGCGGGAAGTGTCCTTGGGGAAAGAGAAGTCCCCGGACAGACCCACTGGGGTATCCAGAATTGATTTTGCAGCGGCACACAGATTCCTGTCTTAACCTGGAGTCTCTGCTGAGTAATGTAATTTCTGGGACAGCAAAGGGGCAGCTGGTGACTTTGAACCAAATTTTACCTTTCAACTCAATTCAGGGAAATTTCAACAGAGTGGCCGACGATGCAAAGTGCTATGTTGAACGCTAGATTGTGCTTTATTTTTTCCTCCCAACTTCACGTTTCCATGCACCAAAATGTTGATGCTACAAATATTGGATGCCACGCTTACCTGACAGGCTTCTTCCATCCCACCTGGGCGCAGGGGCTCTGAGCGAGCGCGCGAACCGTGGCTGGAGCCCGCCTCTCGCGGCCGGAGCGGGCTCGGCGGGCCGCGGGTTCCCCTGCTGGCCCCAGAGCCGGAGCCGCTTTGCTGCCGGGGCTCCCGCAGTCAGCCCCCCGCGCGCACGCGCGCTCCCCCGGGGCGGCCCCAGCGCCTCCAGTCTTCGGCAGGGCTGCGACTGGACAGTTCCAGCGGGCGGGGCGGGGCGGGGCGGGACGGCTAAGGAGTGCTCCGTGACCACGTGATCGGCGCTAACATGGCGGCGCCCAGCGGCGTCCACCTGCTCGTCCGCGGAGGTAAGCCCCTGGAGAACCGCACCGCGGGGGTTTGCACGGTAGCTCACTCGCTAAGCACCCGGGTTCAAAGGGGTTACACACCCGCGCTCAAATATTTCGCCGCACACGAATGTACTTTTAGTTCTACCAATACAGGCAGACACACAAGCTGACACAGGGACACGCCGCAGGAACACGACACATTTATTCACTCGTCATTTGCCTGGACTGCGTCACTGCGTGGCATCTATTCGCAGTCACTCCTTGAGGTTTATGGGACATTGTCTGAAGTTTTCTTCCCCCACGTCAGTTGTATGATTAGTGTAGCAAACTTACTTATTTTGGCTGCGGAGCGATGAACCTACGGTAACTCGGGAATGCGCCTGGATACCCAGTTGCCACAGAGAAAGCAATTGGTTTGTTGTATATATTGGCATGATACAATACGTCTTTTGGGAGACTTGCAACATGTGATTATTCGGTTACAGTGACTTAAAGTGAAGAAGCGAGGAAAATCATGTCCGGGGAGCTCTCAGTAGGTGTTACCCTTGCGTGAATGGTGAGACTTTAGTAAATAGATACTTTTGCAGGTAAATTAGGGAAATCCTTGTTAGATTTGTTCTGAATCTTGGTTAGAAAGAACTAGGAAGTTGTTTCAAGGATTGGGAAAGAGGGGAACTAACAGAGTTTGAGGGACTGCTTAGGTGTCAGGCACATAGAACAGCAGTCCTGTGAGGTAAATTTCATAGTAAATAGCTACCGTTTATTAAGTGCTTTTTAAGTACATGGTCCTGCGTCAGCACCTTACATATGCTAGCTACCTTTTAAAACCCAATGAGTTAGTGTGCGCTTCAGCAGCACCTATACTAAAACAGGAACGATACAGAGATTAGCGTGGCCCCTGCGCAAGGACGATGTGGAAATTCGTAAAGCGTTCCATATTTTTTGGAATTAGAATTTTAAGATTATAAGTAAATAAAGGAACACTGTACTGCGAAAAGTAAATAAATAAAATCCAATGAGTTAGGCGTTACTCCCGGTTTGCAGACGAGAAAAGTGAGGCAGAGAGGTTAAGTAATATGACTAAGGCCGCACAGATTTTAAGAGGAGCCACAGGAAGATTTGAAGGGAGAGAGGTGCAAGAAGAAGGTGATGTAAGCAGTAATTGGGGCTGGTTGGTTATTAGAGTGGAAGTCAACAGGAGAATGCAGCCCTGTGAAAAAAAGCCCCAATTTACATCTCTTAGGATCTGGGCTCCAGGCCAAACTCTGTTTACTAATCAAGTTACTTTTCTGTTTCCTCTTTTGGCAAGAAATAATGGTGTTTAGACTTTTTTGTGTACCACAGGTAATGGTGAAGAGAATCTGGGGAGATAGTCGAGGTAGAGGAGGAACCAAAACACACACACATGTATATTTTATATATATACACATATATGTGTATGTGTATGTATATAATCCCCACAGATTACAGAAATAGCATATTAAATTTTTTTTTTTTTTTGGTCACTTCTGATTTTGACAAATGGTGGTTCAGACAATCCTGGGAAAGACTGCTATAGGGAAGCCAGGTCGGGTTATTGGTTCCTATAACCCATTCCATTATATCCCACAGTGCTGCAACAACTAAAAGAGGGATCTTCTGACTAGAAAAGGGACAGAAAATGTGTCATCAGGGAGAGATTTATTGACCAGGAAAGGTCACCTTTATGGACTATCCATAGCTAGTTTTAAACTGCAGACAGGTTGTCCTATACCACTTGCTCCCCAAGGCCCTAGGATGGAAAACGAAGGGTAAATTCATGAAGGCTCCTGTCTCTCTCTTCTTCCTTTTCACACACTTAAATTGATGTACATCAATTCACTGTAAGTCTTTCTGTGTCAGGGTTTATCATCAGCATCTATGTGCATCTTTCCCTCCTGGAAAATAGAAAGAAAACATTTTTTTTAACCCGTTTAGAAGGCATAAGGTTTTTTTCATGACTCTCCAGCTCACTGTAGCTTTAGTCACTGTATACCCTATAGACAGTAGTTATAAACCTCCTCTCAACATCCCCACTCCTGTTAATTCTTGTTCAGCAGGAGCTATGTTTTATCTGTCCAGTTTAACAAGCATAGTAACTGGCTCAAAGTTATACTTTTTTTTTTTTTTAAGATTTTATTTATTTATTTGACAGAGAGAGACACAGTGAGAGAGGGAACACAAGCAGGGTGAGTGGGAGAGGGAGAAGCAGGCTTCCCGCGGAGCAGGGAGCCCAATGCGGGGCTTGATCCCAGGATCCTGGGATCATGACCTGAGCCGAAGGCAGACACTTAACGACTGAGCCACCTAGACGCCCCGGCTCAAAGTTATACTTACTAAACATACTGAATTGAGAGGCTGTTAAGACTTGCTCTCTTCCATCATGGACTAAGGGATGGGTAGAAACTGTGAGTAGTGACATAGGAAAGGAGAAAGGACATATCAATCTGTTGAAAGCAAGAGATAAGGTAACAAGAGCCTTTTAGGGATGAAATTATTCCCTGGATTAGCACTGGCAGGAAATCCCAGATCCTGGCACATAATGCCTACTGTCAGGTCCCAGGAACTCTTCCTTGCTTAATCTCTCAATCCCAACCCCACTTATAGGAATCCTTGTTCCAGCTACTGAAGGCATTACACAGGATCCTTTGTATAGGAAGAAATGGGGAAGGCAAGTAAGTGGGGCATACTTTCTCCTTTACACTCTGGTCACTTTTATGAGCCTGGCTTGTCTTCTACCTCTCTGATTTTCCCAGACTTTCACTAGGCTCTCTGTTAGGTTTCTAAATATTATTGTTCCCCAGGATTTTGTCCTAAACTTTCATCCCTGCTTTCTCTATTTGTTGTCACCAATCACCTTTATCTACCTCGATGACTGCAAATCTAGGCAATTTTTAAAAAATGAACAGAGCGTCTGCTGGAACTGGGCACCAGCCTCAATTGCCAGCTCTTTGTTGGGTATATTTTCCTAGATGTCTCTTAGGCCCTTTAAACTCAATAGGTCCAACGTGGAAATGAATATTTTTCTCCACATCTTCTTCTGGGCTTATAGACTTTGTCTCCATCAATGGTATTACCATACAGTCAGTATTTAAGTGAAAGCATTTGCGTTCTCTTGGTCCCCACCTTTTTTTTTTTTTTTTAATTTCTCTGTCCTGGGGCGCCTGGGTGGCTCAGTCAGTTGGGTGTCTGCCTTCATTTCAGGTCATGAGGCCAGGGTCCTGGGATAGAGCCCCACGTCAGGCTCCCTGCTTAGCGGGGAGCCTGCTTCTCCCTCACCCTCTGTCATTCCCCATGCTCTTACTCTCTCTCTCAAATAAATAAATAAAATCTTTAAAAAAAATTTTCTCTGTCCAGTGAGTTAGTAAATCCCATTTCTTTTTTTTATCTAAGATTTTATTTATTTATTTGACAGTGAGCGCACAAGCAGGGGGCAGGGGCAGAGGGAGAGGGGAAAGCAGACTCCCCACTGAGCACGGAGCCCGACACGGGGCTCAATCCCAGGCCACTGGGATCACGACCTGAGCGAAGGCAGACACTTAACCATCTGAGCCACCCAGGTGCCCCGGTAAATCCCATTCCTCCCCTGCCCCCAAGCTATGTATTTACTTATTTTTTTTTTTAAAGATTTTATTTATTTATTTGAGACAGAGAGAATGAGAGACAGAGAGCATGAGAGGGAGGAGGGTCAGAGGGAGAAGCAGACTCCCTGCCGAGCAGGGAGCCCGATGCGGGACTCGATCCCGGGACTCCAGGATCATGACCTGAGCCGAACGAAGGCAGTCGCTTAACCAACTGAGCCACCCAGGCGCCCTGTATTTACTTATTTTTGTAATTCAAGTATAATTAACCTATAGTAATGTGTTACTTTCAGATGTACAATATAATGATTCAACAATTCTATACATTACTTGGTGTGCATCATGATAAGTGTACTCTTAATCCCAGTAAATCCCATTTCTTGGATCCCTCCAGTTTTCGGCATGGTCTAGGTACAAGTTTTTACCATTCCTTGGCTAGACAGGGCCTTTGTAAATGGTCTCCATCTCAGTCCATCCTCTTCCCCACAACTACAGTTCTTTCTCTAAAATTCTGCTCTGATTATGATGCTTCCCTGCTGAAAAACTTCTGGGAACTCTTCATTGCTGAGATAAGGTCCCTTAGCATGGAAAGCCAACTCCAGCACAGTCTGGCCTCACTTTAACTTTTCAGCCTCATCTTCTGTCAGTTCCCTATCCTTATATCGCTGCTAAGGTTAACCATGTGCACCTCCTTAATTGTGCTCCTGCAATGTCCTTTTTCACCTGACAAACCATTCATCCCTCAAGGCCACACATAAATGCCATCTCTCCTTTAAGCTTTCTTTGCTTCTGCCCAAACTAACCCACTCTGCTTATATAGCACTTGGGGCATACCTTTACCACAACACTTGTCACCTGGCATCAAAGTATGTACACTTCTCTAAAAAATATTAGTTTACACCTCTATCTCCCCAATAGAATGGGAGCTTCTTACAGGTGTGTCTTACCTTCTTTGTCTCCCCAAAGCCTGGAGCACAGTGTCTGCGCATGGTAAGTACTCAGTTTCATAACTGAATGAAAACCCTTTCAGATTGCAACCTCCTATAGAAATACTTGTGCACAGAGATTGTATGGTAGGCCTAAAGAATCAGTATCTCAAAATGTCAGTTTTATTCACATAACAGGTCTAGATAGTGAATTTTTTTCCTTCCTTCTTCCCTTCTTTCCTTCCTTCCTTCCTTCCTTTCTGTTTTATATTCCATATCTCTCCAAGAATAAGACAATTTTACTTCTGTGTATCTTTTTTGGCAACTATGAGAATTTCATTCCAGGTTATTTGAATTGTGAATCAGACTTATAATTAGAAAAAAAGAAGTTGAAATGGGGGAAGGGAAGAAATCTAAAAGAGAAGTGCTTGAAGTTTAAGCAGAGTAGCCTTGGGAGAGATGAAGGAAGCAGATGGAAGTAAACCCTCGCACCTAAGGACTATCCTGCTGTGGAAACAAGCCACATGGAAGGAGCTGACGCTGTGAGAGGAGAGGGGCCGACTGTTGGCAAGTCTGGCAGAAACTCTAAGAAAGGCTGGTGGGTGTGTGGAAGAGTCTGGCCTTCCCAGAGGGCCGTGTGGCAATGTCTGTCAAGATGTAAGGTATACCTGCCTTTTGCCTAACAATTCTGCTTTTAGGAATTTATCCTAAGAGACCAATATGATGAGTATGTAAAGGTGTTTGAACGAGATTGTATATTGGTGATATTGGACAGAATCTGAAATGTCCAGCGCCTGGGTGGCTCAGACAGTTGGGCATCTGCCTTCGGCTCAGGTCGTGATCCCAGGCTCCTGGGATCGAGTCCCGCATCAGGCTCCCTGCTGGGCGGGGAGACTGCTTCTCCCTCTGCTTCTGTGTCTCTCTCTCTCTCTCTCTCTCTCTGACTCTCATGAATAAATAAAACATTAAAAAAAAAAAGAATCTGAAATGTCCATTGGTAAGGGAATGGCTATATAAATTGTGGTTCATCCATGCACTGGGGTGCTATGCAGCCATTAGAAAAGATGATGTCGAGGGGCATCTGGGTGGCTCAGTTGGTTAAGCGTCCAACTCTTGGTTTCGGCTCAGGTCATGATCTCAGGGTCATGAGATCAAGCCCCATATGGGGCTCCACGCTCTGCATGGAATCTGTTTGAGATTCTCTCTTCCTCTCCCTCTGCTCCTCCTGCTCGTGCTCTCTCTCTTTCTCAAATAAATAAATAAATCTTAAAAAAAAAAAGATGATACCGATGTACTGTAGACTTAGTCATTGACACATATTGAGGAAGAAAAAAGGCAGGGTATAGAACAGTGTATCCCCCTTATGTAAAAGTATGTAGCTTTGCTTTCTCATGTATATATGCACAAAGAGGTATCTA